AGTCTTGCTTGCCAACTAGTGGTATATAATGCTTAAGGGGTGGAACTTAAGGCTGCCAGACAATCTTCGGATCTCCCGGCTATACCACACACAATGCCCTACGATGATGATGGTGGCGATGATGATTGTTACTGTTATTATTATTATTTCCCTTACCTAATACACAAGATTCATATGAAAACAATTAACATATGACCAGCTAATTAACACCATTAGTATTTCAGAAGTTCATTTGTATAGTTATGGCATCCAAAATAATTTTCTATGTATTATATATCACATTATTCCTCACACAGGGCACTTTTTCTCAGTCTATGGCAGGCCAGTTCACTCAACTGTTTTAGAAAGAAACCTTTATCATGGCTGATTTCGCACTAGAACTGCCTCGATGTTGCGCCGCCGTTTGCCCCGATACTATTGGTCAATTTCACACCCGAAGCCGCGGGGCTGCATTTGACCCGTGGCTTCACCCAATTTCCTCCGCAGTTTCGTGATCCTCAAAAAACAGGATCACGAAACTGCGGGGGAAATCGGGCGAAGCCGCGAGTCAGCTTTGGGTGTGAAATTGACCGATAGTGTCGGGGCAAACGGCGGCGCAACATCGAGGCAGCTCTAGTGCGAAATCAGCCCATGAGTCACAGGTGTTTGAACTCTCCTGGAGGATATACATGGATTTGTAAAAATGAAAAAGAAACAATACTGATTTGTAATCAGTAGCCAGTTAATTTCCCAGGTGTGTCAATTTCTCCAGAGATCTGAATGGCCCCTGTGCTAATTGCTTGGCGTCCTGTCCTAATTGAGCAAAACAGACAATAAAACATTAGATCTGCCCAAAACATGTGAGAAAATGAATAGCTTTTGCTGTAGGCATTAATGTTTCTATGCAATGTCTAGAGAGATTTTTTGGTCTTTTGGCTATTATGATTTCTTTGTCTTTTTAAAATTTCTTTGTCTTTTTAAAATTTTGTTAGCTGCCCCAGAACTAGCTTGATTGAGGGGAGGGGGTGGAATAGAAAAATTTAACATAGATAAGGGCTAGTCTGGGTTAGTTTGTGTTAGTCTAGAATTGATACAAAAGAAAGTGTTTGAGGAATATATTTGATTACAAAGAAAACATTATTGTATTAAAATTATAAGAGCTCAACAGCGAATGACAGGTTGAGTAAAATGGGGCCAGTTGGTTCCTGTGGACTATTCTGCAGGAAAGTAGTAAATAATGAAGTGGCAAAATTGTCCATGACAACTGAAGTAAATACTGACAAAGAAGTGAGTCTGAGAAACTCCAGACAGAGTAGCTAATAACTAGCCAGTCCTGTGATGGATTAAGTTGAGCTAGGATTGATTATGTGATATGCCATATGGGGTAAAATGCATCACCATTGCTTATATGCTAAATTAATAACCACTTAAGCAAAAAAAAGTCTATCCATTGTACTTAGTTGATGAACTTAATATGACTTGAATTGTTATTCTCCTTCAGTGGGGGTTTATCTTTCACCATCTTTCTTAGAAAAGTGGCCATTCTTTCATGGCTTCTGTGCTGTTCCTCATGGGCCAGTCATGAAAACTCGTAGAACTCTGCTCTGAACTTGAAGTGTTCTTCATTCTCCCCATCCCCAGCAAACAATTTTATCCATGTCTACTCACACCACTAGCAGCCTGAATGGTCCAGTTTGGCCCACACTCTTCAGGGCTTGGGAGCTAAACACAGCCATAGTCAGTCTTCTCCACATCTGGATAAAGAGAACATTAATGTTTAGGGCAATCCTGTTTGCATCTGAACATGAAGGTAACTCAGTTCCAGAGCAGTAAGTTCTCAGATCTGAGTTGGAAAGTTATAAATCAGCTGTTGTAGTTGAATGAGAACTTTGTGAAATGTCCTTAGACATTTAAGTAATTGCTTCATAGTTCAATATTGCCTCAAAATTATCCTGCATACTATCCTCTCATTGGATGGAGATCTGAAACCATGATCTGGGATCCTCATTTTAAGCGAACGTATTGGTATTCCCACTGTTTTAATTATTGGGGCCCTTGTTCTGTATATATATATTGCTGTCGATAGATCAAGATGGGTAGCCATGTTAGGCTGTCTGTAGCAGTAGAAAAGAGCAAGAGTCCAGTACCACCTTAAAGACTAACAAAATCTGCGGCAGGGTATGAGCTTTTGTGAGTCACTGCTCACTTCTTCAGATAGTTATTGTAGTGAGAATTCTAGATGGAGGTATGATTTCGTAGACCCTGTATTTGCCCTGTGATTTCTTAGATGACCATATTTGCCCTATGTACCTAAGAGTAATGAAGACAGAGGTAATCCCCTATAAAGACAACAACAACAAATACCCAGAGGGGCAAACTACCAGTAAATCTGAAGGAAAAACAGAAAATTTTAAGAGGTTGTTTCAGAGCTGGGAATCCAAGAGGAATTGCAATCAGTGGTTGAAGAACGATCTGATTCAGAGGCTAAAACTGACCTCTGAATCACCTGATGAGGCAGTGGGAAGACCCTGCTTAGTATTTGGATGGGAGACCACCAAGGAAGTCCAGGGTCACTATGCAGAGGCAGGCAATGGCAAACCACCTCTGGATGTCTCTTGCCTTGAAAACCCTATGGGGTATCCATTAGTTAGCCGTGACTTGATGGCACTTTCCACCACCAGAGGTTTGGGGGTGGGATGTATGCAGCTTATTGACAAGTAGTGGAGCAATTTATCTTCTAAACAGATAGAAAAAGATAGATTCGTTTGATAGAAGAAGAGGGGGGAAACGCAAAGGATATATGCCCAGACATAGATTAATTTCTCATGTAACAAAGTAATCCTTCCTCTGCATGATTATGCATCAGATGCATGAATTGTCCTTAAAACACACGTAATTGGTTACTGCCAGGGATAAGCTATTGGGCCATTCCAGGAGTGGGCAGAAGAAACATTTGCTGTGGCATTTCACACTCCTGTTCTTATTTCCACACTTCTACCTGAGGTTTCTGAGAAGACCATAAGGAACCACTCACCGTTAATTCTGTCAGCTGAAACTTGGGAAGCTCACTATTTGAGCAGCAGCGAAAGGATGAACTAATACTGTAAATACTTGGCAGGACTTGTATCCTCAGGAAAGAGGTCACAGTCAGTTCCTCAAAGTTGACTCCCCTATTAATTGGTCTTTGAGGAGATAATTGGCTAGATATCAAATCCAAAGAATGTACAAATGCTGCTGCTTCAGTGTTGTGGAACTTTCCCTTTTGACACTTCATTCATACATAAAGTCTGGAGTAAAGAAACATGTTGTCCTTTGGGATACAGAATTTTAAGAACACAGCACTTTTAGCATCAATCCATCAGTCTTGGAACATAAGGTTTACTTGTAATTATGCTTATTCTAAAGGAAAGTGAAGGTATCATGGAACCTTTAGTCAAGGCTGTTTCTCATTAGACGTTTTGTGCTCTGTTACAGCTACCTAAGTGCAAAATGCTTGTATATTGTGTCTGCAGTGAAAGGGCTTGAATTCTATATCTTTACCCTGCTGTGGAGGCACCTCCACTGTTAAGTTTGCTTCCCCTTGCACCGGGCACTCCAATTTCCACAATTCCAGTGCAGTTTCAGTGAACCCCAAAGTGATTAATGCCAGGTGAAGCAAGTTCTGTGGTGCCTGGAGAGAAGCTAGCATGGAGGAAAGATATAAGATCCAAGCCAAAGAATACAAGTATGTTTCAAACACAACCTTTAGAACAGATTCAGATATACAGTTCTTTGAAAGTAACATTCTTTGCACCTGAATAATTTTGAAGTGGCAAAGCATACATCATCACTTGTCCTTCTGAAAAGGAATGGTGTTGGTGGTTGTTTCATGCAACTGCAAGTTATTCTCCTTCTTTGTTCAGGGTCCTAAAAAGATTGCTTTTATTTTCAACAGTATGAAAAAGCAACCTAGTGCATTAGTCAATCCATTAATATTTTTCTGTTGGACTTGGGAAGCCTATTTATTCATTTAATAACTATATCAAGCCTAAATGCTTCGTCTTTTTATTAATATATTTTTTTTCTGGCATTCTGCATATTTTTTTTGGTGAAATTGAAGGGAGCATAACTGCAAAACAAAATCAATCCATGGTTCTTGTATAAATCACGTAAGAGGGCCATTATGATCCAGATCAAGACAAGCGGGGATCCCACAAGGTCTTGTGGAGGGCATCTCATTTTCCTCTGTATTCCCTCCACTACTATTTCCTTTCCCTGGGCAGCTTCCATATCCTCTCCCCTTTTCCTGCTCCCTTTTCTCCTTTCCATCCACCAGCCGGTCTTACCTTTATCTGTCGCCCCACTTTGAGCTCCCCCCCCTACTTTACCCTTGGCAGCCTCTCCCTGAGAAAAGTCTCACCCAGTTGCATGATGGATGCCAGGCCCAGTGGCCACTGTGCCAAATTGTGTGGGTAGTGAGTATTTGGGAGTTGCTATAAGATCTGTTCCACACAATTTCTCTTCCACCAGTGCCCATCATGGGAAGGGGATGGAACCTTTACCCCGGGCTCTTTTGGTGTCCATGTTCACTCCTAGTCCCCCCCCCCACACTTTGATTTACAGAAGCCAAGATTTGGAAGGCCCAGCAATATTGTTGTGATTGCCTAGCAACCTCCAAAATGGCTACTGAGAGCTGACTGGACATTCTTGTCTTAATGCTATAGCCAGGCATTGTTTCTGTTACTTTTGAGAGTTTTAAACATTCCCTTTTCAGATTTTGGATTTTTCTGCAAGCCTGGGACTTTAGGTTTGTAGAGAATTTCCCCCCTCCACATCTGTCTATTGCCCCATTCTGTGCCTCTATAAATCATATCCTCTGTGGCCCTGTTTGGGATGAGATATATCAATATTCATTTAAATACACAGGACCCCTTCTTGTCTGAATGGGACATCTTGCATTAGTATTGTTGGCTATTATTAAAATTCTTATTTCTCCGACTGTTGAGAAATGCCTCTGATGTATAATTTTCTTTCTTCCTCAGGAAGAGTCACCCCTGAACAGCTCGCCTCATTCACCCAACTCTTCAAAAAGAAACCTGAAGCTCTGGAGAACCACTGTGGGCTTTTGCAGATTGCACTAGCCACAGTGCACACACTAAAGCACCCTCAAAACGCCAAATGGGACAACTTCTTAGCCTTTGAAAGGCTACTCATGCAGGTACACTAATGTGTGAGCATTATTACTTTTTTATGGAGGAGTAGCAAATATTTGAGAATTTCTGTTTTAAGAACATAAGAACATAAGAGACGCCAATGTTGGATCAGGCCAAAGGCCCATCCAGTCCAACACTCTGTATCCCACAGTGGCCAGAAATACCAGTGCCATCAGGAGGTCCACCAGTGGGGCCAGGACATTAGAAGCCATCCCACTGTTGACCCCCCCCAAGCACCAAGATGACAGAGCATCACTTGCCCCAGAGTCCCCATCTATACCTTGTGGCTAATAGCTACTGATGGACCTCTCCTCCATATGCTTATCTAATTCCCTTTCGAAGCCGTCCATGCTTGCAGCCGCCACCACTTCCTGTGGCAGTGAATTCCAAGTGTTAATCACTCTTTGGGTGAAGAAGTACTTCCTTTTATCCGTTCTAACCCGACCGCTCAGCAATTTCATGGAGTGCCCACGAGTTCTTGTATTGTGAGAAAGGGAGAAAAGTACCTCTTTTTCTACCTGCTCTATCCCATGCATAATCTTATAAACCTCAATCATGTCACCCCTCAGTCGTCATTTCTCCAAGCTAAAGAGCCCTAAGCGCCTTAACCTTTCCTCATAGGGAAAGTGTTCCAACCCTTTTATCATTCGAGTTGCCCTTTTCTGCACTTTTTCCAAAGCTATAATATCCTTTTTAAGGTGTGGTGACCAGAACTGCACACAGTATTCCAAATGAGGTCGCACCATTGATTTATATAGGGGCATTATGATATTGGCTGATCTGTTTACAATACCCCTCCTAATAATCCCCAGCATAGCATTGGCCTTCTTTATTGCAGTCACACACTGTCTCGACATTTTCAGTGAGTTATCTACTACAACTCCAAGATCTCTCTCTTGATCAGTCTCTGCCAGTTCAGACCCCATCAACGTGTATTTAGATTTAGGATTTTTGGCTCCAATGTGCATCACCTTGCACTTGGCCACATTGAACCCCATTTGCCATGTTGACGCCCACTTGCCCATCTTTGACAGATCCCTTTGGAGTGCCTCACAATCCTCCCTGGTTTTCACCCAGGATTTGTGTTTTGTTATTTGGTATTTTTCATCTCCTGCCAGCCTCCAAGAAACTCAGAATGAAATACATAGGGTTGGACCCTGTAGAAAGCCTCCACTGACGAAAGAGATTCCTACCAGCAATGTAGGACTTCCGTGCCCCTCCTCTCCTGCTGCAGCCCCAGTTGCCCCCCATAAACGCTGCTCCGGGGGAAATGGGGAGAAATGGAAGTCTACAGCAAGAGAGGGGAATCAGCAAAATCACCCCTTCCCTCCTGTTATCCAAAACCTTCCACTGCATCTGTCTCACAGTGGTAGTTTACTGTCCAGGTAGCCATCTGGCCCCAGACTTCTATATCATCTTTACTACCATGAAAACCTTAAGGAGAATCTAGCTGAAGTCAGATTTTTTTTTTAATTTAAAAATTACAAAATTTTGAAAAATAGGTAGTTTCCGACCTTTAAAAGATATTCCAGTTTATAATAACTGGTGCCCATTTCCAAAATATTTCTCAGAATTTTCCCTTTGTCTGTAATAAAAAGTCAACTTAAATAAGCTACATGACAAACTCTAAGAAACCAGTCTACAATTCCACGAGGATTTCCCCCCATTCCAGTTAGCTGAAATAAACATTCTTGTGGCAGTTGAAAGACTATCCACATGATTCACTACATTTTTCTAAAAAAAACAAGCAAGTTCAAATTATTGGCTCTAATGATAACTGACATGATCAAATATACAAAGTGTATGCAGTAAATTAGTCTGGGAATCACTACATCTCTGTCACTCATCGTACTGTTGACCATTGATCTTTTGTTTTGTTATAAAGATCTTAAAGAGTCTATATGGAGTACGGCTGCTGACATAATATTTGATTGAGTGTTCTCTCAAATCAGTTACCGATCTTCTCGAGGTACTACCCTACCCAGGAATCTATCCCAGTTATTCAGGATACCTGAAATCAATTCGTTCTTGATCTAACGAAAATGAATATATTTCGGTCACGGTGTCTTTATTTTGAACCAAGCACAACAATCCTTCAAACTTAGATATCTCTCTACAGCCTTTCTATATTACAAGTAATTTAAGTAAGGCTTAAATTGTAGATATTGAAAGAACCTGGTATTCATAGAATCACTTCCTCATAGAAGAAAAACTATCCATTTTTTTTAATCTACTTTATCTAATCCAGCAGTCTTCCAGCACTTAATCTGGCCTTAAAAACTTGATCATTATAGCAAACTGAGGTAAGTAACGAGAGTCCAGTACTATCCTATACAGAGGTACACCCTTCTAACCACATTGACTTCAATGGATTTAGAACAGGGGTCACAAATGGGGTGCCTGCCAATGTTCCCTCTAAACTGTGGAGTCTTGTGAGCAAAAATTCTACTTTGTGAGCTACTGGCATTGAAGTTGTGAGCAAGCAATTTGGCTACTGTATAAATTAGTTTGCTCTGGAGCCATCCTTCCTGAGCTAAGACAAAAATGTGTGAGCCGGAGGCTACAAAACTGTGAGCTAGCTCACACTAACTCAGCTTAGAGGGAACACTGCCTGTGACCACCATGGTGCCCACTGACAGCTTTCCTGGAGCCTGCCAAGCATTTTTAGAAAGTGAGCAGGGCCCGGGAAGTTTTCTGATTGACCATTGCAGATTTGATTGGCCGAGCCGACTTTTAAAAATGTTGCTCTGGCAGCAGCTGCCACCACAACTGAAGGATCTTCACTGAAGGTAAGCCACAGCATCCATTTTGTGGCTGGCTCTGCCTCCTGTGACTGTTATTTTGTGGCAACTATTCTGTGGCTGTACCTACCACACTGTGTCAGAATTCCAAAGGTGCCTGCAGGATCAAAAAAGTTTGGGGACCCCTGATGTAGAAAATCCAGAGAGAAAAGCTGTGTTCAAAAAGATGCTGAAACAGCACAAAGGCTAGTATATTAAAAGAACAATAAATACAAATAGTGTCACAAACCTTCAAAGAGTATATACAATATCAAAAAAGTACAGTTAATTCTATACAGCAGACGTTTTCATAGCGATCATACAGGTAAGTTTCTAAAATATCATACAGGTGTTTCAGAGTTTCATAGAGGTCATACAGGTAGGGCCGGCTCCAGCTTATTTTGCACCCTAGGCGAGGATCCCTTCTGCCCCCCCCCCCCCCGCTGCCCCCCACATTTTACAAAAAGAAAAACATTTTAGGAAGAATGAAAAACACAAATAAGAAACTCCCAGAGTACGGGGCCGGGTGCAGTTTGGTGCCCCTAAGGGCCGTCTCGCTCTAGGCGATCGCCTAGTTCGTCTAGTGAGTGAGCCGGCCCTGCATACAGGTATTTCAAATGAAGGTTCTGAATATTAATAACTTCATTTCGGTGATCTTCTTCAGTAATAACTATTACATAAGCATCATTTCCATGAAAATCTGAGGTATGAGCATCTCAACAAACAATTCCCTTAGTAAAAGTATACAATTCCTACTGGTGGGCAACCAGTCTCTATTCTTTGAAACTCCACAAACATCTATCAGCTGATATTGCCTTGCTTAGGATTGTGCTAAGTTTTCCATATGTGCTGTAGTTTAAAATCTACTGTAATGGTCCAAATTTCACAGTTCCAGTTTGTAAAATAAAACCACGTAAAATATTTTGGCTTCAATTTAACTGACTAATTCTTCTAAGTCCTTTCCTGGCTCCTTAAGTGTGTTGCTTGATCATAGGCCTTTTATATTAGGCACTCCAAAACCTCCTTTCTCTACCTTTGCTACCAGTCATGGATGTTTATTAAACCAAATAAATATTGATATTATCCATTGCCAAGTATTTATCACATCATATTTGACTATCAGAACAATATTCATGCCAATTATTTATCACGTCATACTTGAATAGAAAAAGAATCTTACATAAAATATTTGTTTAACTGTAACTGTTTTTCCAAGACATAATATCGATAATAATTGCCATTTTAGCATGTTTTCATTAGTTCCACCAGCGAGGTGGGGTTTTGTGTCTGTGTGATTGAATTTAACTTTGACTTCTGGGTCATCTGTGATTCAAATTCCCCAATATCTAATTGGACCAAAGTTTCAGTTTGTAGCAACTTACCTCGTTAATTAATTTATGTGTGAGTATATGTATAACTGACATATGCGTTCAGTAAAACTTAGTAGTGTTTATTCTAAAGCCTGCTGTTACTCCAAACCTTTGTAAAATACTATTTTGTAAAATCTTCCTTTGGGTTTGATAAAGGAGAAGAGAAGAGATTGGATTTATACTCTGCCCTTCACTCCCCGAAGGAGTCTCAGAGTGTTTTACAATCTCTTTTCCCTTCCTCTCCCCACCTACCTGTGAGGTAGGTGAGGCTGAGAGAGCTCTTTCAAGAACTGCTTGTGAGAACAGCTCTGAAAGAACTTGTAACTGACCCAAGGTCACTCCAGCAGCTGCATGTGGGAAATCAAATCCAGTTCTCCCAGATTAGAGTCTGCGCTCCTTACTACTACACCAAACTGCAATGGTATCTGCATGAGATTTCAAGCTATCAGTTACAATTTGGGTCTTGGTAGAGTCTTTATCCCTGATCTTACCTTCTTACCTAGTAGATTCTGTTCATAGTACTTTAGTGATTTGTTAGGTCCTTCCATCTTCATCCTCTGGTAACAGACTGTCTGTGATACCGAGTGTTCTAGTTCTTCTACAGTATAGATGGCTACATCATCATCAATAGCCCAGTGCTGCCCTTAGCTGAGCAGAGACAGCCAAGATGGTGGTTTGGCCTGGCTGGAAAGCTAGTGCAGCTTTCACTTACTGCCAGGGTAGGAGGCAGGAGTGAATGAATGAGGCTTGTTTTTAATGAACTTCAGGCTTTCTGACATTTTAATCCATAATATATTTTGATTGAACTCTGGCAGAGAAAAAAACGGGGTAGCAGGAAATATTTGGGGGAGTACT